GGATGAAACATTAAAATAAAATCACAAATTAAATTGGAACATAAGTTAAAACTAATGTGGCATAACGTTTCTCTATAACTCTTATTTTTTGCCTACAATCGTTTGATCTGTGAAAATATCTTTATTATGTTTATTAAAATAACTAACAATCTAAAGTACTTTATTACAGTTTAACTCATTCTCATTATAGTTTAATTTAATAAGCTCAATTATAGTTCAATTTATATTTATTACAATTTAATTTAATAAGCTTAATTATAGTTTAATTTATATTTATTACAGTTTAATTTAAGCTTGAGCGAGACTGTGAATATTTAACGGATGCGAATATTTATATATACGCGATATAAAAAAATGCATTCTGTATTTAAAGTAAAAACTTTTTTAAACGATTATTGCCATTTCAGCGCTCAATCAAAACAGCAGATTCTCGAATCAGCTGTTCGACAATCAATTTAATCGTGGTCTGCAACAATTTTCTCCGAAACGTGGCCAATCCGCGTCATGTCCGGAGAAGAACGGTCGTTTTCCGGTACAGAATCAGTGCGACGCTTACATCGAGTGCATCGATGGGATCGCCGAGGAAAAGTTATGTCCCGAAGGCTTATTCTTCAATCCTGAAGCTCGTTTCAATTATCCCTGCGGATATCCAATCGACATAGACTGCACAGGCAGGCCGAATTTGCGTGAGTTCCTCGCAATACTTTGTTCTTACAAATTTTTATCAAAAATATTCTGACATATAAAATTTTAACGAAAGAGACCTCAAATAGTTAGATCTCACATTTTATTTATCTAAAATCGTTGAAGATCCAACAAAAAAAATTTCTGGCAAATTAAGCTAATCACACACGGAAAAAAAAGATTTGTTAAAATAACTAAAAACTTCATTGATTCAGCAAATCTATTATATAAGCATAATATAGGACGGCCAGTTTTCTATGATAAAAGTAGCAAAGTTGTACAGCTAAATAAAATTGGTGATTATAGGCAATCATATATTTATTATAACATAGTAAAAACTTTCTACGAAAATCAAACCAATATAGGTACAGTCCAATATAAGATCAAAATATTTAACTAAACGTGCTAGCTAAGATCGCGCGTACTTTTGCTGCTGTAATGAAGAAAATAATTGTTACATTTTCGTTGTAACACAGAATTAGCTGAATTGACATACTGATAATTGCTTACAGATTTGATTTCTTCATTGAACCATCAAATTTGCTTAGTTATAAATGTAATTGAACTCATACAGCAAGCTATAGCTTTGCTGAATTATCCAATCTATTTTTTCCGTGCATCAAGACGCGATTGAGTGATGAAATAATTCGTGAAATTTTCTTCAGAGCCGGCAAACCCGTCCAACGATTGTCCTCATCAATATGGCTACTTCAAGATCGGCGATCATCAGCACTGCGGGCAATTTATGAACTGCGTGGATGGCAGAGGTTACGTGTTTGACTGTCCGGAGGGTCTGGCCTTCAATCCGCAGACCTATCGATGCGATTGGCCGGATCAAGTGCCGGACTGTGATGCCGAGACTTTCCTTGGCTTCCGTTGTCCGGAGGTGAGGAACGATTTCTTCTTGGACGCCGAGATTAAATTTTATCGTAGCCCTGCTGATTGCCATCATTATTATATTTGCGTAAACGGCCGTCCGAGACTGCAAAATTGCGGCATTGGAAATGCTTTCAACGAGCTCATTGACACTTGCGACGCTGCGGAAAATGTCACCGGCTGGTGAGTAACATTTAAAAACGTCTTTCCTATAAGATGCATTTTGTCTTTACTCAGATTTATTATGTAAATAATAGATATTTATAAACTTATTTATTTATATGCTTTAATAAGTATTTAAAAAATATTAAAATAAAAACTATGAAAAATGTAACGTATAATCTACTTTTTAATTACAGAATCAGTCAATTTATTGTCACGTGCACTCTAAAATTCTTATCCTTTTCTTGATGTCGCTTATATTAAATAGAGAATTATTTAATTTTATGTACTTTTTTCACAGCGAACACGAATCAATAGCGAGAACCACCACTCCATCTTACCGCCAACGGGTTAGACTGTTTTAAATTCTGATAGAGAATTGAAGAATGGAAATGAAAATTGACGGCACAGTAATTGTGAAAGAACAGAGATCAAGAATTTCAAATATTTCGAGATATGTAGTATGATTTATTTTCGACATGATAAAATACCACGCAAATATCCGTGTAATGATTTAAAATTGTTATGTTGATTAATGTGAATAAAATAAAAATCCAATTGCCATGCCGTGCACTGATGCCATAAATAATGTATATACTATCGCTTAAGTTGCCTTAAGAATATGTATTTAATATAGAATTGTGTAGAAAACTTTTAATAAATAAAAATGTAAAAATAAATACCCATTTCCTAGTGGACACCCTATGCGGTTGTTTTTTTACAATTAAAGCTCAAGATTACAAACTAGCATAGTTTTATGGCATTGAACTCTACAATTGACAATTTACTCTAATAAACTTTATCCAATAATATGATTTTATTAAAAGTTTTCTTAATAGTGAATTTCTCTGTTTTGAGATTTATTTGCTACATATAGCACATTAGAGTTGTAACAAAACAACGACTGCAAGTAAATTTACACTCCAATATTATTGCTTAATTTCATCAAATGGTAAACGTATCATATTAATAACTGAAAATAGTGTCATAAGGTTAGTATGTTTCTCTCAGAGTTGTGCTACATATTTCAAGATTATGTAATTTTTACGTATTATTTACATTAAGTTTATACGAATTTTTTAAATATAAATACTACAAACAGTGTAAAATATGTAAATTATTATTAATTAAGGTTCCTGAGTAGTCGCGGCGGCCATGTTGGAATCGTGACGTCAGAAGCGAGGAATGACACGTAAATTTATGCTGCAAGCCATTTGTAAATAAAAACAATTTGGATGAATCTAAATGACGAGATTGCTTTAAAATACATGTAAAAATGGGCATAAACTGTCTTTTTCTCCCTTAATAATTAGTAAATGGTCGCAAAAAGCAGGTAAAGCGAGTCTAATTTCGGGCAGAAACACACGGTTTGAACAGCTGTTGAAATGAATGAAATATACGCTTTTACGTATCAAATTCTAGGATATAACTATAGTTTCTGCCCATTTTTAGGACTTTCATAAGTACGAGACACGTCACATTTTCACAATTAAGCAAATAATAACGAAATGCAGGCATGCAGCACAAATTTCGTCGTCGAAACGTCACTGTTCCACGCTTATATATAAGTTTAGCCATTTATCGTGGCGAGACACTGTAACACACACACAAGCACGAGCCCATGTATATGTGCTCGCTTTCAGCGCACCGAGAGCACATGTATACATGGGCTTGTGCTTGTGTGTGTGACTATCGATTTCGCCACATTTTGCCAGGCCGCCGACTGATTTTAAATCATATACTACTCAGGAGCCTTAAACAACACAATACAAACAAAAGTAATTAAGTTTTATGATTGTTAATATATCTGATCTTAATATTGATAAAGCACTTTAATATTGATAAAGACTTTAATATTGATGTAAGCAAGATAAAAACTTTAGTACAGTTTAGTGCAACGATAAAGAACATAAGCTTCGATGATCTAAAGGTTATTTACATATATGACACGTAAAGCATAATTTATATAATTTACGTTGTGTACACACATAGATTATTATATTTTATGCGTAAACGTACACCTTGATTTCTTCTCTCAAGAATGAAAAGTAATATTAGAAAAAAATTACCTGGAAAATTAATTTTGGTTAATTAAATAAAATTGTGTTTTTAATAAAATACTTCATAAAAACACAAATTACGAAAAAAGCATACAGTTTATGTTCGTTTTAAATATATACGTAAAGGTAAGGATAAGCGCAAAGTAATTTTAAAAGACAGAATAAATTCACGTGTGCATATAGAATATACAATTATTATTGACATGGTACAGTTACTTAAAAAATATATAATAGATACAAATTTGGACGTGCGTGTGTGTGTACGTTGTTGAAACGTATAGGCGCAACGTAAATACACACGCGATAATTATTAACGAGTTATACGCACATCTGGCGGCACGTACGAATTTTCTAGATTCTATCTAAACTAAATAGCTAGAAAGATGTTCCGGAGTAAGTTCGCAAAAATATATATCTACACTCTATCTACGGCTGACTCAAAGGCGCACTCGTTTCCGCTCGTAATTAAAGCGCGCTAATTAGTAGTAGGAAATTAAGAGCATTTACGAGAGGTAACGCGAATCATACGACCGGCATTACGTTACGGGTGTGCCGCTGTCGTGCCGATAGCAGAATGCATATAATTGAATATACGAAACGAATTATGCAAACTATAAGCTGCGATCTCTCTTCCCTCGGCTTTCTCACATGTCGTTGTAACGCATCCATTAAATCGACTATATGTTTTGCACGTTACTTCGAGATATCTACATTTTATCGAGCTACCTTCGTACCTAGATATTTGAGCAATGACGTTTCATCTAATTGCACTTTTTGATATCATAATGAATTAATTCGACGAATGTATTAATAATTAAACAATTCGGTCATCTATGCATGCGATATTTAGTTTGATATATTCCAATATATACATGACAAAATTAAAATTATTTAAATCTGTAAACAATAGTTTCGAAAAATGCTTTATCAAAAACATTTTATACGAAATTCTGAGAAGATTCTTCTATTGAAAATATTTTTAGATCTACTGCACTGACGTAAGTGCAAGCATAGTCGCAAATATTTTATTAAGATAGATTCGTTTTCATCTTGATAAAACTTAGTTCGATATACTCCAACATATACATGACAATTAAAATTATTTAAATTTGTAAAAAATATAGTTCTGAAAAATATGTGCTTTATCAAAAATATTTTATACGAAATTCTGCGAAGATTCTCCTAATATTTTTAGATATACTGCATTGTGGATACAGTGCATGGTCGCAAATATTTTATCAAAAATATATTCGACTTTATCTCGATAAAATTATTTATACGGCCAAAAAGACGGCTGCTAATTCGTTATCGCGCTGCGTACGAGCAAGATGCCAAGAGCACGGATAAACCGTAGGGCGTAGTTTCTTCGGCAATATTCGGCAACGTTCAGAAATTCGCGTTTCGCGCATCTAGATCATTCGCTCGACGAGTGATTGCGATATAAATCGCTTCACAGTCGCGTGACAATCTTCGTTTAATGTCTCTCGCGCCAACACGTCTCGAGGACACAACGTAGGAACCGACTTCTTCGTTTTCTTACTTAACGCTAACGATAAGTGCGACTTCTTTTTTCATACGAGACCACGTCAACGATGTTTCCTCGCTTCCCTCTCTGATCCAATCGATGATTGCTAGTCGATCGGAACGCATTAACTTTAATAAGTGTGAATCCAGCGCGAAGCGCTATGGCAATGGGCTTAGGAGAAGGAGGGAGCCCTCTTCTTCGGGTATTCTTACTTATTGCGTGTTAAAAAAAAAGAAAGAAAGAAAATATAAATACACTAAAGAGTTCTAAAGGATTCACGAATTACCAAAATCAACGGAATCGAGGAAACACGAGATTCGAAGAAAACGAAACGGTGGAGCGTCCCTTATTTCTCCCCGTGAACGCTCTCACCAGGAGCGATTTCGGCACTTCCGGTTACGCACTTCGTGACGGCAACTCTGCGTCACTTCGTCAAACGCCGTGCCCTCTTCGCACACAAATCGGAAGTCCAGCACCTGCCGCGACGTGAAACCGGGCGAGCAATAGTGAAACAATCGACAGTCCCTGAAGTCGCCGTAGAAGCGATACATTTCTTTCTCCAGGCAATTAAAGCTCGCGTGCTTTCGCGGTTTCACGAGTTTCCGGCTGCTTGATTTGAGGATCGCAGCTTCCATCGACGCACCGGGATCGGAATCCTCCGCCTTAGGCAAGACAGTCGTCAAGACTGAAACCGACGTGGCGCGTTCAGGAACCGGAGGAACCGAAGAAACCAATGAAGTTTCCTGCTGATAGACTTTGGAAGTGGAAGCTATAGTGGTCTCCGTTATTTCAAGGTACTTCTCAGTACTCGGTGCGATTTCAGCATACTCGGACTTTTCGAACAGCAACGTTGTCGGTGGAATAGTCGTTGGAACGAGAGTATCAATGTCCTCTGTCGTTTCCTGTGGTATAACTTCTATTTCCTTCGTTGTCCGCTCAATGGAAGGCGCGAGAGTGGATAATTTAAATAGAGGATAAGGAGTAAAAGTTTCAATTTTCATGGTTGTCATTCCCGGATCAGTGTTTTCTGAAGAGTTGGCCGAAGTATTTTGCTCGGACGAACTCGGAAGTTGATCGTCCTTGTTCGTTTGATTATTCTTTGCGAGAGAATCGAGGGATATATATTCGTTTGTTTCCAGTTTGCTCTCGAGACCGTTCTCCTCGCTCCTGCTAGACTCCGTCGTCGTCGTCGTTGCTGCCATTGTCGTCATTGCCGCCGTTGTCGTTGCTGCCGTCGTCGTTGCTGCTGTCGTCATCGCTGTTGCCATCGTGGCTGCCGTCGTCAATGGTGCCGTCGTCGATACTGCCGCCGTCGATGCTGCCGTCGTTATTGTCACAGGCTCCGTCGTTATTTCCGGGTTTTCAGTATTCAATATTTCTGTAGTAGTAATAGTAACACCTTCAGTGGTAGTAGTAGTAGATGTTCGTGTAGGTAAAATGAGCTTCCTGATCGTTGGTTTCGGCGCCAATTCGTTATAAGATTTAATCGGTTTCGCCGGCTTCGGGTTATATAGGCTCAATCTCGGTTTGATTACGACCGGATTCGGAGTCGTCGTAGGAGGAATGTAAGCATAAATCCTTTTGTTCCCAGTAGGCTTAAAGATTTTCGGCGGCGTGGCACGAGGGGTGGTAGTTTTCGGTCGACGGGTGATGGTCGTCGATCGAGCAGTCGTAGTTGTGATCGGAGTCGAGCTTGATGCCGTTATGGTCGAATCTGTTGTGGTTGAGGTTACCATGATTGACGCCGTTGTGCTCGATGCCGTTGTGCTCGATGTCGTTGTGCTCGATGCCATTGTGCTCGACGTCGTCGTAGTCGATGCTGTTGTGCTCGATGTCGTCGTAGTTAATGTCGGTGTTGTAGTCGATGAAGTTGTGGTTAAACTTGCAATTTCTTCGAGATCCTTGATCTTCGTGACGCCGGCCACGTGATCCGTCTGCATTTCTACTTCGATGCTATCATCACTCTTCTCTATATTCTTCGTACGATCGGGATCTTTCGCTGACGTATCTTTCTTTTCTCCATCGTTCTTTTCCTCACTCTTATCCTCTTCAAATTCGTCCAATTTCGTTGCAATTTCTGTCTTGTAATTTTCCGGCTCGTAATTGTCGTCGACGTAATCGTGCGCATCATTTTCATTAGATGTCAACGATTCTTCTGTTGTCTCCTCATCCTCGTTATCGTCCGATAATGGTAATTCGTCTGTGAATTTTAAGACACCCTCAGTACTGTCCTCGCCATCTTCGGTCGAAGCCGCGATGTCCTCCTGAGAATCGGTGTACTCCTCGGGATTTGTATAATCCATTGTGGAACCCTCGGTACTTTCCGGGTACTCCCTGTAATCCTCTTGGATGCTGCGCGTACTCTCCGCAGACGATTCTGTTATATCTTGATACTCGTTCAATTCTTCGGAATTTACGTCCTCATTGTAATTTGCAGTTGAACTCTGCTCTTCGTCCGAAATTTCAGTGCTCGATTTCTCGCTTGCATCTTCGTCGTAAGCTGATTCTTCTTCCAAGTTACCTTCGCGAGAAGTTGCGACTTCGTCGGAAGAAATCTTGCTAGATCGATCCTGCGAGTTCTCTTCGAGTTCTCCTTCATTCGTATCAGCTTCATCATCATCCGGAAATTCGTACTCCCTGTAAGAGTCTTCCTCTTCGATGGAAGACTTCTCTTCAGAGACTTGTGCAACTTCCGTCGATCTCGCTTCGTTTGCATTACTCGGATTTTCGGTCGTATCTTTTCCTTCGGTAGTCTGCGTATAATCCGGCAATTCTGTTTCCCGTTTTTCCTCCTCTATTTGATCAGCACGTAGTTCCGAACTCCTCGTATGCTCTTCCACAATCTGCCGATCAAACGATCGCTCTATGTCCTTACTCCTACTTGAATCGTAACTTTTACCGTCCTGCAAGCTCTTCGAGTATATCGCGTCTCGGTGACCAATCGCCCTCGTATCAAGCTCTTTAAAAGTTTGTGATTCTGAGTCCCCGAAAATGTTACTATCAATCTGCTCCGCAACTTTCTTCTCAAAAGCTGTAATGGATGGGGTCACGGTAGTAGTAGAAGTAGTTGTAGTAGTAGAAGTAGAAGTAACAGTAGTAGTATCAATAACAGTAGTAGCAGTAGTCGTTCTTTCCTTTTGCTGAATTGTCTCTGTCGGTTCAATGTTTTCCATTCTTTGCTGCCTTATCCTCGAAGATATACGTCTTTTCGACGATCTCGGTCGAGAACTTTTCCTTCTCGGACCAGACTTTCGTTCTCCATCTTTGGCACCATTTCGTTTGATTGTTTTATGCGGAATTGTCAGTTGTCTTCTCTCGCCGGCGACGGAGTTCGATCGCTTCTCCGGGTCATCTTTTATCAAGGATCCTGCGATTTGTCCTTCGTGTGCAACTTTCCCGTCAATCTTTGATGCGTTGTACGTGTCAGATTTCGTTTCTTCGATGATAATCTCGATAGGTGCGTCAGTCTTGGCGGACGTGGCTTTCACTTTGGAGTTATTGTTAGAATCGAGTATTATTAAATCTATAACGTCTCCTTGAGATTCATTTTTTCGAGAATGAGCAGTCGTAGATTCGATGTAAATTTCAAGTTCCGACGTATCCTTAATGTGTTTCTTCTCATCAAGCGATTTTTCAGATTTAATTTTAACATTTGGAGTCGAATCTTCATGACTCGCTTTCTCATCTTCTTCTTCCTCGTCCGTATTTTTATTTAAATTGAAGTGTTTAGAGGCTTCTGTCTTCAAGTCTTCTAGATAGTCTACTTTTTTTATCGCATTGTCTTGCACCTGCTTTACAGATATTGTATCAAAAGTCTTGCTGTTTATTCCAATACGTTCGGTATTATTTCTATTTTCTTCAGCATCACTGTGAGAGGAATCTTCATTCACATTGTCGCTAAATAAGATGTCCCTAAATTTTATCAGACTTTCTTTAAGAGATCGAAAATCTTCGAGATTGACCTGGACATGCGTACTTTCTTTATTTATCGCATTATCTTCATTCTTACGCGGTTCACTTTTTCGTATTACCTTGAAATCCTGATGACTGTTCACTTCGTAAACAAAGTTATAGGGTTGCTCAAGCGATCGTTTCGCACGCAAGAATCTTATGTTCTCCATCGCGTTCTGGCGATTTTTGCGAATTTTCGGAACGTCGCGATAAAAGGGATCGAAGGACTCATCACCCTCCTTGTAATCGTCATAGCTGGCCGGTATAGTCGGCAACGGCAATGTCACCAATTGCGTAGTGTTCAGGGGTCTACCAGATTCGTCACTCACGCTCGCCTTCGCTGTGACAATCACCCGGGACTGCGAAGGCAGCAGAGGCGAAGGGTTCTGAACGATTCTCTGGATATCTGGTGGCGGCAGATTTATGGTAATCTGATGAGGTTTGAGCTGCGGCACGTGAATGTGTTGGGTAACTTGGTGAGTGACTGACTGCAATGACTGCGGAGGTTTCGGAGAAGGCCTCGGCGTCGGATAGAACGATCTCATAGTTGTTTCGATGGTGGCCGGAGTCGGCAAAAAGTTGCCGGATATCCTTTGCTGCGATGTTTGACTTGTTTTCGTCTGTACTGTTCGGGACGATTCTTGCTGGCTTGGCACCGGAGATATTGTCAGCTTAGAAATCTAATATTAGAAATAAAAAAAACGTAAGTAAGGTTTGAATAACATTTTTCACCAAGTCAGCTCCGCTAAACCGGAGACTGAAATGATTTTAGCGCGCGAATTCTATATTGTTTTAAGTAAATAGTACAGAGTTGCAAATATAGTTCGTGTTGGTTCATTTGTCACTCTATGTCCATTGAGTCCGTTCGTCCAATTGTCCGTTTGCAAAATTTCTCAAAAATGACTTAACTTTTTCAAATTTTATTTTCGGTAATAGATACTAAAGGATACTTTATCGAGGCAAAATTTGTGTCAAATCAGTTGACCATAAAATGGTTCAAAGGTCAAAGTCAATGAGATTTTCAATAATATAACGAACCAAAAGGATTTTAAAATGTTAAGAGATTGTAATGTATTATATTTCAACATTTTTAACAAAGTTCTTCCAATAGTTACGTGTTTTTCGCTGTACTACTTTATTACAATCGTTGCAAAGAGTACTATTATACAATTTTACGCGCTTAAACATAAAATTTTAGTTGCATACCTTGCCCTTGTTCACCGATTGTATTGCCTCCAATGCCCTTATATCTTGTTCCTGATCATCGTCACGATAGTCAGTAGTCTCGCGTGGATTATTGCTATGGACGGAGAAATGTTCAGTAGTGCTCGCGATTCCGTGATTGTGAAAGATAGGGTTGATCAAACCCGCCGGGCTGTTCGCGTTGAGCAGCGTCTGTATCGTGGAGGACGTCGCGAACAACGGCGTCACGGTAGATGGTTCGCTGTGAATGATCTGCGGTGGCGGACCCACCGTCGAGCTGTACCTGATCTGATGGATCTGCGGCGGGGGGGGCGGGGGGGGCGCCGGCGGTACGGTCGTCGAGCTTACGGCACCCTGATTACTGAACAATTGATAGGACGTGGCCTGATTGCTGGCGCGCTCGCCGCCATTGTGGAAAATGTACTGATGATGGTACCCGCCGTTCTTGTCATCGTACAGCGATTTGGACTGGCTCGTGTGTACCTGTGGGAACGGTGGCTGAGGCTGATAGTGCTGCGGATAACCGGCTGGGTGCTGGAAGGAACCACTGGCTGACGTGGTGGATGATTTGCTAGGCCGGGATGTGGTCGTGCTAGTTGTGCTGGTCGTGCTAGGTCGCGCCGATGTAGTTCGCGACTGATGATCCTCCACCGGGTCAATCGTTAGATCGTCCTCGTCATCGCCGTTCAAGCTACAAGCAATGGAAGAAACAGATATGCGATATTAAAGGCGATATATAGGGTATCCAGTAAAGATTGCAACAACTCATACAACACACATCTCCAAGAGATGTTCTTAAAAACGTCCAAAAGATACCCTAAGGATGTTCCCAGTACGTCTCTTGGATAAAGTGCGCTGTGTGGCAACGCTTAAGGATAGACAACGCTTAACGGAGATTATTTTAAAACAAAAATCCAAAATATATGGAAGCTATAATAGTTTTTGAATTATGAGATATATTATATTTAAAGTTGGCGAATCATATCGTCTAAAATTTGTGCGTTCAGGTGTGATTGATATTTTCCATTGTGCCATACCTAAACACGCAAACTTTAGGCAGTATAATAATTCAAAAACTATTACAGCCTCGATATTTTGAGTAGTAGTATTTTTATCTCAAAATGAAGAGTCTCTACTCTAAGTGTTATTACGGTCCTTACCAGACACCCTGTATATTAATCGTAACAAGGTGGACATTATCTCGCGGATATGTGACTTCTCTTAGTAGCGCTTTTACATGGGTACACAAAACGAGATATTATACTAGATATTATGTTACATAGAGTATGTATCACTGGCCTAGTGATTTATAGGCTGTGATCTCGATGTCTGTCCAGATACGACGAGCAAATATCTTTATCTGTTAACCATGGTCGTACATTAAGTCGCGTTATAAATTTTTAGGAAGAAAATTATCGTTGTAGCTCGAGGTGTCACGTTGGTGCATTCCCGAGCGTCAGCGGCTCGCGAGATAACCGCTTCGAGGTAACGTCCGTTAATTGTGGGATAAGGCTGACGGATGATAATAACGTGTAAGATGCAAGACAGGCGGGAAGAGGTCGAGATATTGGTTCCCGAGAATAAAATGAGCGGCGCAGGAACGCGAGATTTACTGTTGACCAAAAATAGAAGTCGTCTTGAGAGATGACTTAGCCTCCTCGTCGAACAGCGTATAAATTTCACTCGTCGTGACAGTTAATCGTTATAATTTTTATCTGCATACATCCCGCGGCCATAGGGGGAGGACGCCAGCATTCCTGGGATACCGAGAGAAGGAAAGCCGTTGAAATATTTATGGGTATACGTACATACGTACGTGCCTTTTACGTGAAGGTGATTTCAAGACGCTGAGATCCCGAGGTGTGCAAAAATACGTACGCATCGCGAGCCATAAAGCGTACGAGTCTGGAAATGCGAGCCTCAGATACCGAGCTGCACCACGTTGTTTTGTTTTCGCTACGCGAACATTACGCGATCATATTCCTGGGAGCGTGGCTTTGGACATTGCGCAAACGAAACGAAGCGGGAAAAATGTAGCAATCCGCGAAATGCCAGCAAGAATTTCTGAAATGCGGCGACTCGATATTACCTCGTGTACGGGGTGTTCCGCGACGGTAAATAACAAAATTATATTGTTGCTCTCTTATTTTGGATAAAAATCTAAATTTTTCAAAACTCTAATTTCAATTTAACGACCAAGATCTTAAAGCATAAGAAAAGAATTCTTTCTAATTTTAAATTAATTTGATTCATATGAAAGTTTACCTTAAGTGACAAACTTTAATTAAAGATTATGTAAGTTTAAGATCTTGATCGTTAAATTGAAACTAGATTTTTGAAAAATTCGGATTTTTATTCAAATTGGGAGAGACAACAATATATAATTTCAAAAAAAAGAAATTAATAAAGAGCATACAGCCACAACGCCAGTTAAAATTAGCAAAAATATATTTAATTTACATCAAGTAAACGTTTCGGTCACCATCTGACCATCATCAGTACATCAAATTACATATTAAACCCATATATAAATTATCAAATATCAATTATATAATTTATTAATTTATTAATTTCTTTTATAATTTTAAGCCACTTATTATTTTATATATATAATTTCGTTATTTATTTACATTCAATAAGTATTTGTTTTCATCGTCATTATTTATGTTCATATAAAGTTTTATATAAACGAAAGATAAATTACATCAAACAGAAAAAGTATATTGGATATGTCTTCGGTGCTTACGAAACGTAAAGTGAACGTCCGACTCTACTAGGAATTGCGGTCGTATTTGACACCTTGTATATGATCGGCGAAGCAATCAGAGTGTGCAACAACTTCTTTCATTCGATAGTCAGTTTCTGCTCGCAACAATTTGCATCAATGTGAAACCAGAAAATAGATTAGCGACCGACTTGCCGTGTCATTAATGAATTTCCAGAAAGTCAGAATTATTATTAACCTTTTGACAACCTATTTCCTTACGTCTGTGTAAATCGCTACCTTCTGTAGAATGTAAAAAGAAAACTGGATTTTATAATCACGTTATTAAATATAGCAAGATAAGGCGTGTTCTTAGAATTACCTAAGTGTCACAGCGTTATTGCCATACAGCTCCAGATTCAGATTGTAGAACCGCTCGCTCTTGCTGCAGTCAACCTCATCAACCCTCTCGCAGACTCTGGTCTCCTGGTCGAAGACGGTTCCGTTCAGACAGAGGAATTTTATGTCCATAATCTCGTCTGAAACCAAGTCTCACGGTGAAGAACAGGATCATTATTCGGGGATGCTCTGGATTCACGGGACGTGCTCGTCGCAACTTTAATACAATCCTGACTTTGAGTTTTTGACGTGGATTCGCTTAACACTATCAATCGTTTTTCGATATTAAAGTTACTTAATTCAATTAAGAATAATCATTATGCACTTAGAGAAAAAGATATAGCGTAACAACTATATGTAAGTAATATCTACATATACAAATTTTATATGTAAAATTAATGTACAATAGTTGAAAAAATTATTTTATATTTATTGAAACTAAAACTAAATAATTACGAAAACTTATTAATTCTTGTAATCATTAAACTTTAATTGTAATAACTATATGTATAACTTATTTAATTGTATGCATTAATTCTATAAGTAAAACTTGTATAATTATTATGTATAGGTATATGGTTGCTATCACTATAAGAAATGCTTCTTTTTTCTCTGAGTGCATCACCTTCTAAATTACATATTTTATTTATATCCTACCATATTAAATAATTAAACTTAACAGGTTAATTTTTTAAAAGGAAAGCGAGTTTAGTGTATAATTTTTTCAAATTCCTTGAAATTCTTTGCACTCGATTCTTCGTGCAATCTTCCACGTTGATCTTCAGCGTCTCCATTAAGAAAATGCAATGATTTATCTTCGAGGAGACGTTTCTCGCATATTTCGGAGACAGTCTCGCTCCATTCTCCCAAACTCCCGGAGAAACCTATTATAAGCGTTGTGTCTACCTAAAACCGATCCAGTCCATAAAGTCGATTTTGCACGAGCGATTATGCAAATCGTTTTATATGTCAAGTGTTCACGTGGCGCGACGAAGGAGTCGGAGCTGACTGTTTGGATCCGGGGCCGAGAGTCAGCGATTTATCAAAGACAGATCCGGATTAGAGCTGGAATTAGTAGCGGTAATTAATAGCGGCGCGAGCCTATTTAGGATCGGCACGTATTTAGTATCGACGGTAAGTAGATCGTTTCGAAAGCAGCTCGAACGAAGGCTGCCCATCGAAGTTTTGTAATCGATCATGGGAGATCTCTCACGGCGAGAATGTCACGGTCGTTGAAGAACGTTTACTGACCTAAGCCGAGAGTCTGGCTTTGACTCGTCATGAGGAGTCTGTCTCCCCATTATGTGAATTTAATTTTGAGAATTCAACTAGTGATTTATTACTCAATTGGAATTTTTCCTCGTGATTTTTTTTCAAAAAAAGAACGCCAGCAAAGTAAAGCAATAAATATTCCTTCTACTATTGATTTATTCAAAGTGGATCTTGATTAGCTTGCAATTTAATTAATGTCGTATTAATATCACATTAGATAGCATGATTTTTAGTGCGATTAAATTTACTTTCTCTTCATAATGTAACTAATTTCGTGTCGTATCAATTATAATGTTTCATGCATTAATTTATACACATTATTCAGATTATTCAGATTTTATAATTAAAAATATTAGGTACATGCTAAATATATCGAGTGATATAATTTGTTTAAAATTTACATTCGTGTCTCATAAATTTATTTAACGAATCTTGCAAAACAAATTAAATCTCGAAATCTTCTCGAAATTTTTTCTTGTGTGTTAAAATATGAATGATTTAAATTATGATTGTGCAATATTTGGGGATCCCGCCTTTATAATGCAGAACTACCTTTCTGGCCGATGGTGCAGACATGAAACATTTGACAGCCCGCCTCGACGTCCGCGTAGTATCCGCCGATCACTTTTCCTTGACACGAGAAATTCGTCTCCGGCAGGTTGTCGAAGTCCAGATACTTGAAAATCAGAAATCGGCGCTTCAGCGGAAAGAAAATTTAGCTGCTATTCGCGGTGATGTGTTTAAACTAAAAGCTTAATTTTTTCTTCAGATTTATTCGATTAATTTTTTGAAAACTTACGCCAGGTTCCCCCGCGCTGCATAACAAACGGCCATGACGAAAGTCGAGAATCGACACGAAAACTGAAAAAGAAAAGAAAACAATCAGGATATGAGAAAGTAGAAATTGCATTAAGGCTGTGGCACACAAAAAAGTAAGCAAATCAACGTTTTCGATTTGTTTTTACGTTATTGTTTTACGTTCTTTTCTGTGATTGGTCGACTTACTTATTCCCAAAAAAAAAACAGATAAAAAAATCAACAAAAAATCAAAATAAATCAATTTTTTTCTTAACGTCAATAAACAGACAAATTTTGTAATAAAAATCATCATTCTGACTTTCATAACGTTAAAATGAAGTGATTTTAACTTTCTCTTGACTCGATGTATTTTTCGGGTTGCTTACGATCTTTTTTTCTTACTGCCTTTTTTCTTACTAAATTTTTTGTGTGCCGTAGACTTTACATATTAAATAACTGAAACAATAAAAAAAATCACGAGATTATAACTTGCATCGCTCGAGATGAATCATTCTGTTTTTATATCTCTCAATAGACGCTTAAAGAACAAATAAAGATTCGCCAATCAATCAGCGCAACTCTTAGAAAATATGTTCTTGAAACTTTCTAAAAAAATTTACGCAGTTACGAGTCTATTTTTAATAAGCTCATTTTTTTAGAGCTTGACTTTCGCTCGCAATATGTGAATTTTCCCACGGTATTTTTCGAATCGTGGGTGCATCCTATTTGATAAGATACGAGATAACAAAAGTTATCTTTTGCCGAAAGGAAAGAAAAAAAAAATATTTTGCGGTTGCCGCCGTCTCATTCGGTGCAGCCGCGTCATGTAATTTACGCGGAGGTAATTTATGCGGTTTCGCAATCGGGCCCGGGGTCCCCGGTGGACCCCGTTGTACCAGTTGCAGCCATAATTATGCACAACTATCGTTACGCACCGGCGATAGGTTAATGCACCAAAGTGCTCCATAAATTCAAGTTTGCTAGTTTGATCTGCTACCGTCATAAATACAACATAATCCGGCGTAACTGCAATGTTACATAAACGCGATCGGATTGAATAAAATGTCACTATGTCGACGAAAGATTAAAGAGAAAGAAGGCTGGATAAAAATCAATAAAACAGATTTAAAATTGGCTGTAGTGTGCAAAAGAAGAGAGAAGTGAGGAAATTAAAATAATTTATACTTAGAAATAAACATGTTTTTCTTAATATAACAGCATTTTTTGCTTTGCCAAATAAAAAAGGCATCGCAAAAAATCGGAAAATACAATATAACAAAAAAATAATAAGATAGTGGAATAGGCAACTTTCACCTTATCTAACACGTGCCAGACAGGTGTTAATTGTTACCGTTAGATTAAATTATATTCTTCGCTTCCCTCCTCCCCCCCTCCCGGCTCTGTCTCGTAGTTTGCTGTGGTATGCTAATAGAGCTCTGGGTATTCAAATTGCAAAATTTATACTTTTTGTTCATAAAGATTTATGTAACGCGGTTGTAATTGATTTATGGATTATTACTTTAATGATCCATCGACACGTTAAAACACAAAAACATAATATTACAAGCATATATATATTTTTTATAAGCTTACATATATATTTATTTATTATTTACATATAATATGAAAAATTATATAAATGACATTTATATAATTTTATTTTATTTTTACAATAAAATTAAAAATTTAGTGCAATTAAATGCTAAACATCTAATTACGTAGCTCTATAAGCTTGTGTACTTTTAAATTCTTTAAATAGCGTTAACATTCTTGAGTTTATTGATGATGTAGCAATTAGTCTATTAATTATATTGCCGACTGAACGCTTTTAGCACCTGCTTTTATCCATTCCATTCTACAATTTGACCGCGAAGCGCTCAAATTGTTGCTAGTATTCGCACCTGCCCGATAATGCGATCGCGATACCTCGCAGCCGTTTCTGTAAAACGAGTCGAGACTTTATCGAGACCTACGGGCGACTTTTAATTCGCAATGCGCAAAGACGGGCCTTTCACCATGTGGCGTTCGTGTAAAATATGTCTCTCGTGTTCTCCTGGCGCGAGACCGTTCGTTCTCGATATACAATTATGTAATTCGGATAAAAAGGCGAAGGGATAAGAGTATAGGAGAGAAACGTCGCGCAATGGCATGGCGTAAGCCGACACGAGACAAAAAGCAACGGCACGTCGGATACGCCCGTCGTCGGACATTTCGCCGATTATTTTTTACATGAGTTGACCTTTCGTTCAACTCGACACGATGGCCCGGTCGCAACGTTATAGCTTCCCATCAGTTTCACCGCGGGCAACGCCGTTATTAATCTTGCATAGCTTTCTCGACGTGAAAGAATAATCATCTTCGTCGATTTCGTTCGAAGGATACAAAAACAGACATGAGACTATCTGCATTAAACATGACTATACCACTCTCTTGATATTATATCGAAAAAAATTGATTTCTTAATACATTCCACTTATGTTACAAGGAGTAATACTTTTTTATAATAAGAGATACAAATAAAAAATTATCTTCCTGTAGAGGTATTTTACTCGAGAAATTTCAAACAAGAAAAATATCTCTACAGGAAGATAATTGTTTATTTGTATCTGTTATTATAGAAAAATATTGTTTCTTTGTTCGTAATATACGTGAGTATTGTAATACATATGAGTGGAATGTATTAAGTAATTTTTATAATACGAAATCAATTTTTATAATACGAAGAAAGTAGTACAGTTGTGTTTAATGCAAGCGGCTACATGACTATTTTTGTTATTTCAGATTAAACGTACCAAGTAATTAACGTTCCATAGCTTCACGTCCATGAACTGTTCATGAACTTGAGGACCTAAACAGTCCAGAAATTTAATACAAAGTACTGTACTGTACTTACAAAAGAGAACAAAATATGATTAAGGATGCTGAAGGGATGCAAAAGGGCTAGCTCGAGCTATGTGAGCGCGTCTCGCGTAGAAAAGACTAAAAAGGGAAAGGAGGAAGAAATGGAAAGTGGTCGCGCGGCACACGTCAGGATTTTACAGTAGAAACCGAAATTTCATAAATAATTCCTCGAGCATACTGCGCTCGGCCGACTATGACGAAGTTCCTTGAAACTTCTTGGTGTTCCTCTCTGGCTTCGTTCTGCACTGATCTAATCGTCGAAGCATAGACTTTTGCTTACATTTATCGCGAACTACTCGGGCCAGAGTATTCTCATAACCCTTACAGAAATCTAATACTGGCCAATTTAATACTAGCCAATTTAGTATTGAAAGTTAATTTAAACCAATTTATAACTTTAAAAAATTGACAGTAATTAATTACTTATTTGGAGTACCAAAAGTACTAAACAACACACAGTGGCTTTACTTTAATACTTGAAATAAGTAATTAATTACTGTCTTTTAGTAGATATTAATCAGTATTAGATTTCTGTAAGCGAATCCATTCTTATTTTAAGATTGTCTTAAAGTATTGTCTTAAGATGCTAAAACGACTTTCTTTGATTGGTTCATTATACACTGTTAGAAATGTAACCACGAGCTTCCTTTATATGTAAATGAAGCTCGTGGTTATGAACAAAATTAAAAGTAAATGAATGATTTAACTGAAAATTAAGTTACAGTAGTTACTTAAATGTAATGAACGTGTACATTAAATTTATAATATTTAATGTACTTTTCATAAAATTTTATAAAAAGTACATTGAATTTCATAAATTTTCATGAATAATACATTAAATTTCATGTACATGTACATAAATATACTTTTCAGTTATAAATACATTAAATTTAATGTAATGTCATGAAATTAAGTTCAAATCGTGTAACTTAAAAGTATATTAAATTTCATAACATTTTTAACAGTGTAGTTTATCTTAAGACTGAACTTAAGACAGTCTTAAATATAAGAATCGATTATGAATATCTCAGTGTTCTATTCTTTGCTGTACAAAGAATTCGAAGCGATTCTCCTCTTGCGGTATTTCATCCGGAATCCGAAGCATTTGAAAACGCATTCCTAGTTCAAATCGTTACAAACACGATTTCGTAATCGCACCGGAATGTTACGGACTTATTGCTGAGAAATATGCAATGTTGGTTCAATTTAATAACTTAATTTGAAAGTAATAATCCATTACGGGAAAATCTGGAAAAAAAAAGAAATCAAAGAGAGACCTATATAACTCGATTTTTATATCTCTTTTAGCATACAAGAATCGCAGCTTGATACTTCAAGGAATGCAATTGCAAATGAACATTCTTAGAATGTGCGTGAGCATATTAATTTAGCATTAAAGAGTCGTATATGACAGCAAAAGTAGTTCGTTATGATTCACAAATGCAACATGATATTTGCTGCTTTAATCTGCTTTAAATATTTCTGCTCTTATTTTTAATTCTTAACTCTTCATTTGCAATCATAATTTTTGTTGCATTTGTAATTTGAATCTACAATGTTCGTCTTTTTTGTCCAACAAAAAAGTTTTTTTTTACTGTCCTTCTAAAAAAAATTCAAAAAGTTACTTTCCAACATTTCTATTACATTACAAATAGTTTTTTAATTTAAATATCGAAACCTATATTTAATAAAAAAATTTAAGTTTGAGTAAAACTAAAAATAAAATTTCGCTTGTGTTAAAAAAGACCCAAATTGTAGACGGAGGATTAACTATTCTCATCTATAATTTATAATTTATATATTTTATAAACAAAAACTGCATTTTTTAACTTTATATTATTTTATTACATTCATTGAAAATTTGTTCAACAAATTTGTCTCGAGGTTCAAAAGTAAAAACTTTTCGGTCACTATTTTCCGGATGCAAACATGGAATTCGTGCATGCATTTACAGATTCCTTCTCACGGAAAAAAATCCAGTTTGCGACGACGTGTCTATTCCGCGTCATTGCGATCGTCGAGGTTAATCACCGCTACGATTATTTCCTGATATCGCTACCGCGATGTATCGTGGACGCGCGTGCATCTCCGATGACGACGACGTAATATCGGGGAAGCACGTGGCGCATCATGTATTACGAACGGCGCATCGTAATAATAAT